GAAAAGGTGTGGAGAAAGTGGTAACAGTATTTGCTGGTAAATTACTTTAGGAGGTGAGCATTGACGTGCTAGCCTTCTTGCCCTCCACTCCCTTCTTGCTCTAGGAAACGTAATTGATAATTGGACTGCATGGCAATGTTTGCCCTGTTTGTGGGATAGTAAACATTAGCAAGCAATTTCAGTGTTATGTCACAGATTCTTTACAAGTAAATAGATTGGTGGGGGAAATTTTCCTTCTGTTGAGGCCTAACTAGGGATTTGTTTTGTTCAATATGAAACATTTCTTCAGCTGAGTTGCCTTTATCTGGGGGACCCGGCAACTCATGGGGACCCGGCATCTGGCAGGGTCCCCATGAGTTGCTGCATCAGTTACAAATCCCTGGGAGCCAACAGGGCTCTCCAAAGTGACCATAGTGGCAGCAGGTTCCCTGGCAGGTTCCCTGGCAGCCACCACATCAGTGGTAGGCCCCTAGGAGGCAGCAGTGCTCTCTGGAGCCACAGCATCAGCAACAGGGGCCCTGGGAACTGCACCATTGGCTGCATGGCCCCAGTAGCTAGGAGGGGCCCCAGGAGCCGCTGTGTCTGCAGCAGGGCCCTTGGTAGCCTACAGGGCCCCCAAGAGCTGCTGCATCGACAGCAGGGCCCTGGCAGCTGCAGGGCCCAGCAGAACCACCACATAAACTCCTAAGATTTTTCTGCAGTCCTGAGAGTTCCCCAGGTTTGGAGAAAAATCTCTTTTCTCTCAGTGTGGGCCCAATCTGTGGATTTAGTTATCCGCAGATCTGCTCACACTTGACAAATAGCTATATAGATAGTGCCTTACAATCTCTCTTTCCTTAAATGTTAATGCTCATTGAGATCTAAAGGAATAATGTAACAGAGTGCATAATGTGAAAAGTATTTCGCTTGAAAAAAGTGTTTATGTGTAATCAGTATAATGTGGAGGGTCCAGCATAGTCTAATATAGTCTTTTTGTGGACCTCACTGTGACCACATACTGTTTCTGAATGGACTCCTCCCAATGCAGAGGTAAAATTCTTTTTTGTATACTACTCGGTAAACTGTCAATATTTGTTCAGCTTCTCTCATGAGTGGAGTTAGCTTTTCAGATTGTTATGAAAGCACTACCCTATTAAACATGAACTTCAAGAGAGTTAATTTATTATTATACTGACTTATGCTATACAATATTAATGCTCACTATAGTGTTTCCCTCCCTTCTTTGACAGACTGGTGAATTTTCAGCTCGTTTCCTTTTGAAATTGCCAGTGGATTTCAGCAACATCCCTACTTATCTTCTCAAGGTAAAATAGACTACTTTTCTGATTTACTTGGTGGAATAATGTCATTTTAGGTATTCACTTGTGTTTTACCCAGAGCAAAACACAGAAATGTTCCTAAAAGGATAGCCAATTATTTTTAAATGATTTACTTGATTAGGGAAAAACTGTTAGTACTAGAAGACTTCTGGTAATATTGATAATCTAAAACAAAGACTAGTGACTATCCACTACATTTAATTCCCCCCCCTAAATTCACATCTGTATTACTCTTTTGTTTTGTATTTTAACGTATTATCTCCCTAGAAATAAAATGTCTAATACCAACATGTACATAAACTTTTAGCAAACTTAAAAACAGGCATTCAGTAGTTTTCAACATGGTAGTATCTTTCTAGAAATAAAATTAGAAGATTAACCATTTTAAATTTGGCATTGGGTTAACAAACAAACAGTAGAGGAATGCTATGTAAGAATTTTTCTGTGTATGATATAAATAAAGTGATTGAATTAAAAGCCTTTGAAAAATGAATTGTCAGGAGAAAAGAGAGGCCGTGTACGGTTAAATATGTAACATTCTTCTCTTTGGTCCAGTTACGTGGGGCTCAACAAAAATTTAGACTTTACATGAAGGAAGAGAAAGTGTGAGTGCAAGAGTAAGAAAGAAAACCTTAAGTTCCTACTCAACTTTTTCTAAGGCTGTGATCACACACACTCAATAATCTACTTTCAGTCCACTTTCAATGCACTTTACAATGGGATTTTTACTGTGTGAACTGGCAAAATCCAGTTTGAAAGTGCATTGAAAGTAGGTTATTTAGTGTGTGTGATCGCAGCATAAGTTTTTGTTAGGGTTGCCAGCTCTAAGTAAGGAAATTCCTGGAGATTTTGGACGTGGTGCTTGGGGAGTGCAGGGTGTGGAGAACAGAGGGACCTCAGCTGGGTACAATGCCATTACAGTCCACCCTTCAAAGCAGCCATTTTCATCCAGGGAACTGATCTCTGTTGTCTGGAGATAAGCTGTAATAGCAAAAAATCTCCAGGCCCCACCTGGAGTTTTGCAACCCGAGTTTGTGCTGAGGAGTTTGGTACCTTAAGGTAGAGGAATGTAACTGATGATCTGGAAATAAAATACCATATTCAACTTTAGACCAAGATAGGTAACCCAACTTTAGATTGGTTACCAGTTCAAATATCCAGTAAGTTCTCAGTCAGCAGTTTATCAGTCATGGTTTTGGTGAGGTAGAATTTATAGTAGAGGTCAAGAAACAGATGTGGAAGATTTTTATGATTACTTGGTGGGAGTTGTCAGGCTGTTGGATGACCACAAACATGTTAACCTGTAAGTGTCTAAATAAATGAGGAAAAGATGCCTATTCTTCTGGCTTCGTACTGTATTCTTCCAGGATTAGTTGGCTGTATGCCCAGTGAAGTAGGACAGAATTTTTTTAATGGTAAATGTTCTGGAAAATTTTCTGTTATATTTTTCCATGGAAAAATTTCCACCCCTCATGGTCCAAGCTTGAACATGATGTATTTGACTTCATTTGCAAACTTTATTTAAATTATTTATTTAAATTTGAATTGGAAATTCCAGAAAATCCACATCATGGTATACGCTAATTAATTAATTTAGTTTATTTAAATAGTTTTTAAAAGCTTCATTCCGACATAAATATATTATTAAAATACAAATTGAAAGACTTTTGTTGTTCGGTCGCACAGTCAAGTCCGACTCTTTGCGACCCCATGGACCACATCACGCCAGGCCCTCCTGTTTTTCACCGTCCTCTGGAGTTTGCTTAATTTCATGTTCATTGCATCGATAACACTATCTAACCATCTCATCCTTTGCTGTCCCCTTCTTCTTTGACCTTCAATCTTTCCTAGCATCATGGTCTTCTCCAGTGAGTGTTCCCTTCTCATTTGGTGGCCAAAGTATTTGAGCTTCAGGTTCAGTATCTGGGCTTGCAGGGAACAGTCAGGGTTGATTTCTTTTAGGATTGACTGATTTGATCTCCTTGCAGTCTAAGGGACTCTCAAGAGTCTTCTCCAGCACCATAAATAGTATACATAAATAGTACATTTTTGTCCAAGGCATGTTTTAGATAATCAAAAGCTAAAAAGGTAATTAGGAAATAATTTTAGATTGTTGACTGGCTTTGATACAGGTTCCTGTCACTTCAGAAATGTTTGATTATTTTCAGAATGGAGGAATTGTTCACAGTGCACACAACTCTTCAAATTCCTGTGAATTGTGTGTTGAAAATTTGATTATATACTTAATGTATTACTGATTTAATGATGTGTGTAGAGATGCATGGTTTGCAAATCATCTTCGTAAGCAATGGTATCAAGTCTGCTTGAATCTTACGAACTGAATGTTTTTTTCTGTTGGTACAGGCTACTGGTTCCATTATTTTCTTGCATTCTATAGCCATATGTGACGGACTACACTTTTAAGAACCTTAGAAGTGCTGTACAAATAGGTAAAAAACTATGAAGGGTTAATTCTCAATGGAACCAGAGAGCCTTGAGTGACAGGCTGCTCCAAGGAATCTGATTGGATAGCATCACCTGAGCAGAGAAAGTCTTGAGAGAGCTGCATGCTGAGGAGAGAATCACTCAGATTTCTGCCTTGACTGAGTTGAGTCTGATTTCAGTCTTAGCTGAGAGTAGTTTAACACAGATGGAAAACTGGGGGAAAGTTGTCAAGGAAGTTTGGGAAGTAGACGAAGACTTCCATTCTAGCCAAAGAAAGGGGATAAATCTTCTAGTGAGAGGAGAGTTAGCTCTGAAGAATGCAGAGATCCCTAGTCTGGTGTGGTCAGAAACTGCCTGTAGGAACCTTAAGAGTCAAATAAAAACTCAATGCGAGTAGTTGTGTTTCTAAAGAGTGTACCAGCCTTCTGGAAACCAAAAGAGTCAGAGAATACTCAAAGAAAGTGTACTGGAGTGTTTGGAAAAACACTGGAAAATCCTGTCAACATATTATTTATTTATTATTTATTACATTAGACTTATAGCCTGCCCTCCCCTGCATAGCAAGGCTTAGGGCGGGTAACAACAATTAAAACATAAAGATTTTAAGTAACTCTGAATAGCTTAAGAAACTCAGTATCCTGAAACACAGAACTAAAGTCTCTGCATGTACTGGTTTTATCTCAGAAATTTCAGCCCCTGATTTCACCCGATTTTCCCTGCTATGTTAAATAAAATGTTTTCTTAATTTGGTATATAAAAACCTCTAGAGTGCCATTAAAGTTAAAGGGGGCTCCCAGTCCTTCCCCCACACTTGCCCCAGACGGAGAGTTCCCATCTCTACCTTGTGGTTAATAGCCTCTGATGGACTTCTGCTCCATATAAGAACATCAGAGAAGCCAGTGTTGGATCAGGCCAGTGGCCCATCCAGTCCCACACTCTGTCACACAGTGGCCAGAAATAGCAGGGGCCTTCAGGAGGTCCAGCAGTGGGGTCAGGACACTAGACGCCACTGTTGTCCCCCCTCCCCAGCACCAAGAATACAGTGCATCCCTTGCCCCATACCGAGAGTTCCTATCTATACCTTGTGGCTAATAGCCACTGATGGACCTCTGCTCCATACTGCCAACAGAGGGCTCACTCTCTCCCAACAGCTTTTCCTACATAGTCAGTAGACTTCCTGTGTTTGCAGAAAAATGCAAGAAGTAAAAAAATCCCTTCAGGGAGGGTTGAATTCCCCCTAATACCTTTTGAAATGGCCTCTGCAGGGATCTAACTCCAGGCATCAAGGGTGAGAGAGAGATTAGAATGTTCAGGGTGGGGGGGACTTCTTACTGGCTCTGTCAGTAAAAGGGTGGGGGGAGGGCCCTTCCCC